TCTTTATATTTGTGATGAATTACTCCATATCTATGGAGTAGTTCTCTTTAGGGATTGATGGATTTGGTATTTTGATGATTGTTTGTGGATATTAACTCTAGTTTTTATGTATTGAATTATTTTGGGTGATTTAATTATTGCATCTATATTCACATATTCATGTAATCGAAAGAGGCATAACTTGTGATGTTTTTGTATCATCTTGTTGGTTGAATTCATTGATTTTTCTTAGTAATCGAAAGAGGCTAGTTGAATTATTGTTTAGATCTAGTTAGGAGGATAATCGAAAGAGGTTCTCCTAAAGACCAGTCCACTACGAATTCGTGCATATCTTCACCGAGCATAAATTGGTTCATATTGTGAGGTTGAGACTTAATCGAAAGATGAGTTTCTACTAAACGTTTGAACTAATAATTGAGTGAATTCGAGAGACTCACTTGAACATTAGAAGTGAATTAACAAGAGTTAAATCCCAAACAATTATCTTGCATCTATCCAATCAACCCATATTTTCTCCTATTGATATCTTCTTTGCTTAATTTTGTTCAATTGTCATTAGTCAATTAGATCTAGGGTCTTAGTTAATTCTAGTTCTTAATCATATAATCTCAATTGTAGATCATCTTGGTAGCTATCTAGCTACAAGCTACGAAAATACTGTTTAACTTCAATCCCTATGGATACGATAATTTTCTATACTATCTTTGACTAGCGAGCATATTTAGGTGTGTGTTTTGAGCTCGTCAATAGGCAAATAATACGGTCTACAACCGAATAGTAAACATAAAGTCCTCAACTACCGGATACCTACTCAATTGGAATACGTAATGGTCAATACCAAATCAACGGTCACATCTCAAGTCAGGAAACTCATGAGTACGCGGACTCCTTATCAAGTATTTCACATGATTCTGCCGAGGCGAGTGGCCCGATCCCATAAGAGTGTTTCATATAATTGCCGAGGCGAACGGACCGATCCCATAAGAATATGATGCATAATCCTACTGAGGCGAACATTCTGATCCCATAAGAATATGATACATGTACTGCCGAGGCGAACGACCCAATCCTATAAGAGTATGTTACATGATACCACCGAGGCAAACGGCCTTATCCCATAAGAGTATTGATGTGGCATTCAGCCCGATCCCATTAGAATATGAAACTTTTATGGGTCTTTGACCCCACTCACGAATATACGTGTGAGTTATGGTATTCAAGAAACTTTTCGAGGAATACACACAATACGGGAGAAATTCGTAAGGGAAGTACAAGTCCCACGACTGATCAAGTAGCTCGTCAAGTATCTAAAATAGCAATTCTGATACTCTACATGAGTCTAGTCTCACGCTAAATGTGAACTAAAGCATTTAAACAGGCAAGAATAACTCAAATAGTACAATTTAAGCATGGCGTGAGTCTAAGTCTACCCGGACATAATCAGGAATTCTAGCACACACACAAACACTCGTCACCTCATATCTGTGTAGCTCCCACAACATGTAGCACACAATAAATATAACACCTACGGGGTAAATTCCCCCTCACAAGGTTAGACATGAGACTTACCTCGCTCTGAAATTCCATAACCGGCTCGAACCCCCCTCTAACACTTTAATCCAATGCCCATTGATACTAAACTAGTCAAACAACGTGCAAATCAATAAAAATATACTTAAATGCTCATAATTTAATAATTTATAATAATTTTTAACTCCGCTCAAAAGTCGACAAAATCAATCATCGGGCCCACGTGTCCAAATTCTGAAACTTTTCAAAGATAAATATTACTCATAACACCAAGAACTAAAATATATAATTTATTCCTAATTTCATGTATAATTTCGTGGTCAAAATCCAAGAATATCAATTTTTAGGTTTTCTTCCAAATCCCACAATTTCTACAAAATTTTATGTTTAAATCCATATATAACTCATGTATTTAGCTCACAATGTGTAGGAATTCACTTATCACATGATGGATGAAGAAATGACACTTTAAAATCGCCCCAAGCTCGGCTCCCATGGAAGAATTGAGATAAAATGAACCAAAAACCCGTTTTTCCAAACTTATACATTGCCCAATCGACCCTTCTTCGCGAAAGCGGGAAGTTCCTCGCATTTGCGAAGCACAATAAGCTTTTGCTTTCCAATTCCCCTATGCGAACATGATAAAGGACTCACAAACGTGAAGCTTTACCATGCTGACAATCGTGAACGCGGCCTCACCTACGCGAACGCTAAAGCCAAGCCCCACCAGGCTCAGCTTCTCCCCTTTGCAAACGCTATGCCATGTCGCGAACGCGATGCTTTGCTTTTCAAACCTTCGCGAACGCGAAGCCCAATTCCTAACGTGTAGAACCGATCTCCATCAATTCCAAATCCCTCTTCGCAAATGCAATCTTCCTTATGTGTTCACGAAGAACAAAACCATAACCAACAAACCAGCAACAACAATTCACCCAAACTTGGCTCGAACCCATCCCGAAGCACCCATGAGGCCTCCGGGACCCCGCTCAATCACACCAACTAGTCCTAATACTTTATCCAAACTTATCCAAATGCTCGAAACGTCACGAAAAATATCAAAACCACGAATCGACGATAGAAATCCTTCTTTTAACTTTCAAACATCAAACTTTGTCGAACGCGTCTGAATCATACTTAAACATTCCGGAATGACGCCAAATTTTACGTGCAAGTCACAAATCACAATACAAACATATTTCAATTCCCAGAACCCCAAACAGATATTGATAACACCAAAGTCCTCTTCAAACCAAAATTAGGAAATTCTAAAAACCTTCAAAATACCAACTTTCTACAATAAGCGTCGAAATGCTCCTGGACCACCCGATACTCAACCCGAACATACGTTCAAGTCCGAAATCATCATACAAATCTACTGAAATCTTCAAATCTCGATTCCGAGGTCATTTATTCAAAAGTCAAACCTTGGTCAACTTCTCCAACATAAAGCTTCTGAATTGAGTATTTTCATTTTGAATCAACTCCGAACTTCCCGAAATTCAATTCCAACCTCGCATACAAGTCATAATACATAAAGTGAAGCTACTCAAGATCTCAAACTGCCGAACAACGCACTAGGACTCAAAATAACCGATCGGGTTGTTACAATATGATTAAGCAGTTCAACGGTTAATATAGAGTCTTATAGGCTGGATTTCTAGATGGCCAGATTTAACGATAAAAATATTTTTTTAAAACACAATTCTGTTAAATGATCCTAAAGACATGCTTTCTAGGTGAATAATAGGATCATATAGACATAATTTCTAAATGATTCAGATCTGGGTAGTGAAGTTGTTAGAAGCGTAGGTTTGTTTGTTTACTCCTATAGGCATACTTTCTAGGCGGGCCACGTAGTAGAAGAAAGATATCAACAAGAGCGGTTTTTGATTACTTGGGTTGACATCCTATAGACATGATATCTATGTAAGTCACTTAATTGAAGGAAATATACCAAAGCGAGCAGTTTCAATTATTGTATTGACATCCTATAGACATGATATCTAGGTGCAGAAATAAGGCAGTTAAACGAGCAATAAACAAGTCCATTTTCGGATCATATAGCCATGCTCTTAATGCAAATTAAGACATTAAATAAGTTGAAAGCCCTAAATCATGCTTTCTAAGGGAATGAGTTTAATAACATATTAGACAGATAACTCCTGAAGGATGGGACATGGCAAGCAAATAAGACACTTAGAATCCTATAAGCATATTTTTTACCCGTTCATGCAAGAAATAAAGTATCCCAACCCTTCACTTTCACTAATTCTCCATTATTCGTTATTACAAATTATTACAGGTCTAAATGAAATAAGACAAACCCAAATATGACAAGTTACAGAAGAAAACAATTTACAGGCCCACTGGAACAATTACATGATCAATACAAAATAACTCAGTGATGTTCTAGGCCTTCAATAGCCTTACTCTTCGCACAACCAGCAGGCCCAAATCCCCAGGATCACAAAAATAATTAGAGTATGCCTGAACTAATGCCCAGGTCCAACAACATATATGGCCCAACAAACCAGGCCTAAACGAATGCCTTACTTCCTCAATGGGATGCCAAACTTAACCATACAAGTGACAAACTACATACTAGGTTAATTAAACAGCCTTTAGAATCCACACACATAGTTTTTAAGGCTGTAGCTAACAATATTTCTAAACCAAAGACACAAAGACAGGATTACACGAAGTCTTGGCAGGCATACATAAGGTAGGCTCATGCTATATTTCCAGAAACAAGTTCAAAGTGACAGGATTGAATATCATAAGCTAGCAAACCACTCCAAAAAGAGTTTCAAAGTAAAGCATGATCTAGACTTAGCCTAAAGGACTTTAGACATAAGAGTTTTAACATAGAAGTATAGAGGGGTCATGATCACACTACTGGAAAATGGGCTTATGGCAACACTTGAATAACCGTTGCCATAGACATATAAACCGTTGCCATTGATGTATGGCAACGATACTAGCTCCGTCATATTTGGTCGTGTGGCAATAGCTCCACGGCAACGGTTGTTGCAACGGTAGCCAAAACTGTTGCTACACATTTAGATATGGCAACAGTTATTCCTCTTTCTTAAGCAACGAGTATTTCAATCAACTGCAACGATTCAAAAGTGTTACCATATGATATTATGCAACGGTTATATAAGCTATTTCAATAATTTTTTAAGATATTACAACGGGTTTTTAACGCTACTGTAACGATTTTATTACTATTGCTACAATTTCTTATGGAGTAGCGATGATTTAAAAAACTATTACAACAGTTTACAATACCTATTGTGACAGTTTACATAATCTATTACGTCAATATGCGACAGCTATTGCAACGGTTTCTATGGTTTATTGCAACGGTAGGCTACTAAAATAATTGTATAGCCTTAATTGTAAATTAACATTTAGGTATATAATAAATAGCAATACACTACAATTTATATAAATCACAAAATAAAACTATTCATAACATTAATAATCCAAATCATCCAAAAAGCTAGTAATTAATATCCATAAAAGCAAAACGTGTTCTTACTCAAGTGCATAGATATTACATTTCAATAGTTGGCATAAGTTTCAAAATATCTGATACCAAAAGATTCCTACTAAATCAAAAGTTTCAGTATAAATCTAAAAATCTTTTCAAGTGAGGTCTATTTCTTCACCGCTTTCGTCTTCCTTTTCTTCATTTTCTCCACCTACAAAAAAAGATTAAGAAAGTTATTACCTTTTAAGCACTTGTTAACTTAGCATGACATCATTATAAGGAGCAGATGAAGAAGCCAAAATAAATAGCAAATCAAAATCAAATAAACCAAACTTCTAAATGTTCGCATTCAGCCAGAACCACTAAAAGCAATTGAAGAAAAATCATTTTGATAGCTAGTTGCTTGTTTCTTTAGGAATATAGAAAGTGTTGTGAAAATGGGAACAAATGTTCTCTGCCATCATAATTTGTATCTCAAAATGGAACAAAGCAGTGTCTAATAGATGTTCCGAACATATGTGCTATCTGAAAATTATGACGAATAAAGGTTGATAAAAAATTTGATATCAGTCATATTCACTCAAGGATGAATGATGGAGCTTATGAGGGCTCATCCCTCCTTTTCAATCAAATATTCAATATGTAGTGTTTTGTATCTTCTATTTCTACTCTCAATTCAGAATATAGTCATGACGTGCATTACTTGGATTTAGCTAATATATCCAGGAGCTTTGTGCGCATAGGAGGCACACTTAATGAACTTTTTGTAAAACCTTAAAATTTCAAATATATTCAAGTAATCCAACTGATCAAACCATACACACAGAGACACAAGCAATTCAGTCAGTACTAGTCCCTAGGTCAGCTTCTGTTTTTGCTGATCCCATGGGCTAAATCACAGATATTTTTCCGGCAATTGCAGATAGATGCAACAAAGTTGTTATTTCAGTTAGGAGGCAATGAAAATTTAGACGTTTCAAACAAAGTAGTATCAATTCAACTTACAAATCTAGTGTATCTAGTAGCTTAATTTTTCCAGAAAAAGTCTCGCTTAACTCATTGGTTTCTGGTTAGCTAAATAATCATCCTTGATGTCATAGCTACTAACTAAAGAATAAGCATACAAACTCATTTTGCGTATAAAAGTCTAATCCTTTAGAGAGATCAGTTAATTCATTCTATCCTACCTTTAGAACCATCCTTTCTTCATATACAAACAAAACTTCAAATTGTTACGTGATAGCTCTCGCTAAAATAGAGGTAGTACAAGTAATTAATTGATTCCTTTTACCTTTGCTATAGCTTTTAAATGATTCAAAAAATTAGAATCTTCTTGAAATATTGGTCTCCAACTCTATATAGCAGAGGTTTCTACAGAGATAGACTTCTATGAACATTTTGAGATTTTAAAAAGCCAATCTAATACCAAACAGTTTCAATAATGTCGTCAATCATTGTGTAGAAAGTCACAGAACCAGTAGAAAAAAAACGAGAGACTTATGTCACTTTCTCCACTTCCTAATCAGTTCAGAAGAAAAACAAGAGAGACAGATTGTTCGGCAAAAATACAAGGCGTAATGTTTACATATTTGGATTTGCACTGACCTTGATTGTTGCTACCGGCAGATGGACGATTTATGAGTTGAATAGCAGCTTGTTGTTCAGAGGAAGCTTCTCCAGGTGAACGAGCATAAAATGTTAACATATTAGGATCAAGACGTAATTCTGGGTTCAGACTTTGAAGTTGTGCAACAACGTTGATTGTAATTTCTTGTTTCATAGCATCCTTTTGTGCATTGAATTTTTCTTGCATTTTTTGCTGCATTCTCACTTCTATTTCCTCCATTTTTTGCTGCATCATCTCATTAGTAGCATTTAAAGAGGGTCCAAAATCTCTCACTTTACCTTTTAAGACAGTCTTGGTAACCCCACGTCCATACAATCTTAAGCGACTTGGATGCTCAGGTCCCATGACTGATGCAAATGCATCAACTGATTGACTGCCTTCTTCAGTTTCATGAGTTGATTGAATGTTCTCCATTTCAGCCTACAAATCAAATTAAAGAGAACAAAGTTCTGGTAAATAAAACTAAGCCAACAATAAAGAACAAGCAAATGATCTCAACAAACTTTAAATTAGAAAATTCGTACAATTTTACGAAGTGTATCTTCATATGAGTCCTTGTATACTCGATCAGATTTTCTTTTTTCTTGTAGCCACAAAGATGTCCTTATTCGTCACAATATCGGAAGTTTCCTTCTTCTTTTTCTAGTTACATGAAATTTGGCATAAGAATCTTCCCAAGCAAGGTCAACAAGTTCAGAAAAAATGAGAAATAAGAGAAAATATCAAGCTTCGCGGATTAGAGCAAAACTTATTTTGCCAGCCGTATGCGGATACCTCAACTTTTTCCGATTTTCAGTATTATTTTTGGATGTTTTCTGTAAACAAATAAGTCAATTAAATCTATTTAATTGAAGAGCCAAAATAGAAAATCTGGAAATAAATAGGCAACGACTCCTTCAAAAGCTGGAAAGCATATAAGTCCTGCTTTGCTGAAATAGAGACAACCAGTTCAACAATGCAAATAAGGCACTAGTTTTTAAAGACAAGAAAGCTGGCCATGGTTTATATCTTACTTGAGCCTTATCGGAGTTCCAATATTTAAGGAGATCCTTAAATTCAGATTCTAGAACATTTTTAGGCCTTTTTGCCATTCGAAGTTCATCATTTTCATAGGCTTCATAGTGATCTTTCTTCAACTGACTTTTATACCTTCTCCAAGCATTTTGAATTGTTTCAAATCCGTCCATCTTAGGAGATTCATCCAACTTTTATCTACAATATCCATGGAAAGCCTATATTACACAAGCAAATCACCAAAATTAACATTAATACTAAGATAAGAAATAGAAGAAGATCAACAATATTTTGCAATTGAACAACCAGTTTGGTTCGTGTTATTTCCCTGCAATAATATTTTGCAAATGAACAACATATTGGGATCACATTAATTCACCTAATAAGTACATTATACTACTCAACTCATGCTCATAAATACAACAAGTATTTAGTGATTATATTAGAAAATCAATTAACATGCAGTAGTTACGAAACTTTAAGGTGCTGGATGATTCATAATTTTAAAGAAGAGTCTCAACCATTTCGAACACATCTTTTCCTTGGTGTTTGATTGAAAAAAAAAAACTTTTCCAGAACACTTTTGATGATCAAAACTTAAAAAAATAGAAACCTGAACTAATTTTCAAATATTTAGTTTCATAAAAAATCTAACACTAACCGCCTTATCCATGTTACACTAAAGCCTGAACTAAAATCAGAATGCAACAATACAATACATGTACCTCTATTTTAGACTAAATAGCATTCTAAAATGTCCTCTATCAATTAACAGAAAATCACTCTAACAAACAGGATAATCTTTTATTGCTTCTTATTGATCTATTTTTGTAACTTATGAAAGATGATTCCTTTATACCTTTTTCCCAAAGAAAAAGGAAAAAGAGGAAGAAGATATATTGGTATTTTCTAGTATTTCTTAAGCTTGTTAAGGTAGATCTGCAAAATAAAATAAAAAACTGAATTTCTAGATTAAAGAGGCATCTTTTGTGATATCCTATGTCTTCATTTGGAAAAAAAATACAGGTTTCTGCTCTATTCCAACTTTAGCTTCTTAAATAGTTTATACAGATTTGAAAATTGATGCAGGGGCTCCAACGAACTTCAAATATAATTAATAAATAATAAGAAAATAATAAACTCCTTAGGAATACATTATTTTAATAACTGGTCATGTTAACAAGGGAAAATTTGTGATTCTCAAGATCTTGTATAAAAATATATGTACATCTTTTTTTTCTTTTAAATAAGAGAGTGATATCTGCAAATATTTGACCCCATATATATATATATGGACACAACTTTCATTGATTTTAGTTCTGCATCTTTACTGAAGTCTTTTTTTACTGTTGTTTGAGCTTAGCTTAAGACTTCTCTTGTGTTGAGACAAGATCATCACCTTTTAGAAAACAGATTATTCATGTTTATTGTCTTCACATCTTGCTTTCCGCCTAAGAACTAAAATGCAACTATTGACTATAAATATCAAGATGGAATACAGAATAGAGCCAAAGATCTGAAATGTACAGCCACTATATTACAAAAACACAAAACAATATGTACTAAATTTTAACCTCAAATAATTACAATAAATTTTTTATACACATGAAAAACTTTTGAAACTAAGAAGCAGTCTCGCTACTACTCTTATTTAGAACTCATATACATAAACTAAATGCAACCGAGCATTATTTCAGTTTTTCAAACAAAATATACTTCATATTCTCTTTCACATGACTTTAGTCAAACAGTTTAGGAAATTTCAAATCAAACAGAGAGAAGCTTACAGTTTACTCATGCTAATCTGGAACTAAAGGCACAATTTATTCAAACAGAAAAGACTATTTAAGTAGAACTAAGCCAAGGGACAACGTAAAGAAGAACCTCGTTAATAAAATCTAAGCCAGCCTTTGAGGTCTTAAAGAAACACTTTAAAAGGAGAAATAAAAACCAGTTCATCCTAATTGAGCATGTTTTGATATATGATACCTACTAACATCAAAATCAAAACTTGACATAGAAAATAATAGCCAAAAAAAATAATACCAAAATCCAAAAATTGAACCCAACAGCAATAAATCCAAAAATTGAAACCCCTTCCATATCAAGTTTTTTGGCTATCCTCTCAAAAAATTGAAAACCCCTCTCAAAAGAGGCAACTTTGGCTCCAAATATTTATTAGAAATAAAAGTTGCTATACGGAAGGGTTCTATACTATAGAAATAAAAGTAAATATGTACAAACACTTACAACGATGGGCTCTGTGATTGATAGTTCTACTAGTGAGTTAGGTCTGTGTGAACATGATAATTTTGCAGCCGACAGAGCAGACAGACGGGCGTCGTTGAGAAAATCCTAGAAAATTGGAGAGGAAGCTATAAGGATGGGGTTCTGCCTTCTGATTTTGTTTCTAGAGTTTGGGTAAAGAAAAAAGAAAAAGCTATGTTTAGAGTATTATGAAAATTAGAAAATAAAAAAAATAGGAGGTTTTGGCGGGTTTAGCAAAAAATGAGGTGGGAAAATATGGAGGGAATTAAAAACCGTCCCAGTAGAAATTTTTTCACAAGATTCGTTTTTCCAAATAAATCTATTGGGACGGTTATGAAAACCGTCGCATAAAACAGAACCTATGGCAACGGTCTCTACACAATTGCAATGGTTTAATAACCAAAGTGTATTGATAGCACCCCGGATATTATTGTAACGGTTATAATCATTGCAATATCATGTCTATAGCAACGGTTTCATAACTGTTGCCAAAAGGTCCGTCGCGATAGGGTCGTTTTCCAGTATTGTCAGGAACAAGTGAGTAGCAGTTTTCACATGAAGGTCTTTAACATGAGAGCCTAATCAAAATATGATCACAAACAGCATAACAAACAGGCAGTGGGAATAGTCTACAACAATTGACAAGCAATCACTCAGTTGAATATGAGAAACTTAACATGTTGAGTATCAGTAATAATACAAAAGTTCAGAAACAATACCAGAACTCATGGTATGTGAAAATATATCAACTCTAGATTAATAGAACATGCATCAGGACTTATACCAGTTGACCACATATAGAAGAAGAGGTTAGATATTGAAATTTACCCTAGAAGTCTTACGCAATACTAAAGAACACATGATTGAACAAGTCAGGAAGCACACATTAGAGTTTACAAATAGCAAAAAAACATGTTGTGTTTAGAAATTCATGCAATATTGACATTTAGAAATCACATGATCATGGATTGACTATAAGAAAGTTGACAAGTTGTACATGAATTACTTAACAGGAAGCAATATATCCGAACACATTTTGGGCATAACTAGTTTCTCACAAGAATCTAAAGCAAGGCAGGGAGATGGACTCATGGCAAGTAGCAAGTATAAGTACTCAGACATACACGAACACAAAGGCTAAATAGGCTTAATATAGTCAGAGATCATTCAAGTTGAACACATATAATGTGCATACATCAAAGTTTAGAATTTAGGCAGGTTCAGATGCTAAGAAAAGTATAGGGCCACATGATAACTTCAAAGTAAATATGACTACAAATAGAGACAACACAGTAGCATATTGGTTCACAAAAACTTAAGTGACATAGATATACAGAGCATGAACACAAAAAAATTGCGAGAGTCAAAGGTACTTACTAGTTACAAATTAACGAACAAGTAAATAAGAAGAGCAATTTCCAGCAGTAATTCAATTATCAGTAGCAAAGAGAGAACAACAGGACCCCAAACCCAATGCGTCAGAGTTCACAAGGGCTTCAGATATGCCCCGAGCAGTGCTCGTACTGGAAAGGTTGATAAAGCAATTCCGGTGGCCTTGGCTTTCAGCCAGCCAAGAACCAATAGTTTCAGAATAATAAAGTGAGTAAGTGAAGGAATAAGGATGATTTCGATCCTCTAAAGAGGAAATCAGGGGTGGGGTTATATAGCGTTTGTTTTGAATAAACCAATCATGGAAAACAATCAATTAAAAATAAAAAAGGAAAGAAAAGATCTCATGCAATCAGAATCGGTGAACGAGATGAAAATATCAAACCCTAGTCGGGTCCAATCAAATGTAAATCAAACCCTAATCAGGTCCAATCAAATGTAAATCAAACCAAAAGTGCAAAATCGTTTCTCGTTAAGCATATATGGATGGAATCATCATCCAAATCCCATAGATTCAAGTCGGCATGATCCGATTTTGTCATAGTACTTGCTAAAATCAGGCAAGTACCTAAGTAATACCATAGAGGAGTGACCAGTAGCGAGATAACACAAATATAGTAAGCAAATAATAGGGGAATCCCATTGTTAACGGGATTTGGAGAGGGGTTGAAGAGGGAGGCGGCTACAGGTTTTTCAAAGAAGACAGGAAGGTTCGAGAGAGTTTAGAGACAGCTGGGCGGAGAAAATAGGTCTAGGGTTTGGGTTGTGAGGATATAAGGAGAAGGGTAGGTTTATTATGGGTCGTTGATCATTTGAGATCAACGACCAAGATCAAAGGGAAACAGGCGGCTTGTTTAGAAGGGTCCCGACCGGGTTAGTTAAGGGGTCATTTGGTTTGGGCTGTGAGGGAGTGAGCTAGGTGTTTTGGGCCTGTTTTCAGTCCGAAAATTGGCCTTTAGTTACTGTAAGGCATTCAAGAAGGAGGAACAAAATAAAGGTGGTAAAGATTCTCTCAGGCACTTACCCCGAGGCATTTCTCTTTCATGAATCCTACGATTGTACCACTACCATCCAAGAGACAAACCTATCGCGACCAAAACCCAGCTAGAATCTCCGGCGTACGACCACCCACGCGCCTTCACGTGCGGCCCAGCTCCGGTGACTCCTCTTCCACGCGCCGTCGCGTGAGCCATTTTTAGGCTAGATCTCACTTTTTCTTCTTCAGATAGCCTCATCGCGAGGTTGTTCCGAGCCCTCCAGTCCAAGAATATCCTAATTCCGATGTCTTTTACTATTTTTCGGTGTACCTTCTCATCGGAATCCTCTTTTTCTTTCTTAAAAACCAATGTCCACCCATTGTAAAGTCCTCTGCTCATCCATACAAATACTGCAATGAGGGAGGATAACATCATCTATTTTGCAGTGGGCTTCAAGTCATATGACATTGTTAGATGCTCATCCAATGCTGAAGAATGGTATGAATGGACAGAACGAGGTCGGAATCTCATTCGAAGATCTACTTTCAGCAGGAAGACGATGGTGTGGTTGTGTGAAAAATTAAAGGAAGCATCGAAGATGAAGGAAAACTATGTGAAAAGATGGAAACCCAAGGAACAATACTCAGAAATCTTCTATGCGATGAACTACAACAAAAATGGTCGTTATATAACCATCATTAGGGTCCAAGGCAATGAGAGGTCAGTAATTATTGTTCCAGAAGTAGCATTCAATCCGGGTTGGTTAGATATTGCAGCAAAAATTGAAAGATTCATTAATAGTGGGGTATGGAGGAATGTCATTAATGCTCCCAAAATCATTGAGGAAGGTCTTCTTTACTCAAACACAGTCAGAAATCATAAATGGGCAAGCAGAGAAATGAATGAAGTGGCGGTCCAACCAGAAGGAGACATTATTCACATCTCTGGTGATCTAACACACAATGGTATGCTAGGCAGGTGCTTGGTGGGGTTCATAACAGAAGAAAATTCCGAAATTGCAACTCTATTGGAAATTTGCAGATGGGCATCTAGTTCTTGGAAACAAGCACATGGAACCAATATTTATGAGATGGGTCAGAATCGGTTTCTCTTCGAATTCTCTTCAAAATTAATTGCTGACCATGTTTTGAGTAGCGACTGGTACTGGAAGAAACACAAAGTTAAGCTTCAGTGGTGGACTCCGACGGTGGGATCAGTTCCAAGCAATAAGACGATGAACCATGCATGGATTAGGCTAGTAGAGCTTCTGTTACATCTATGGTCCCAAAAAGTATTCAAAGAAGTTGGGGAGTTTTGCGGTGGCTAGATTCAAACTGAGAAGGAGACGGAGCTAAGAAATCACTTGAAATGGGCAAGAATAAAGGTTAGAGGAGATGAATCCGCAGTACCAAAAGTAGTAAAGGTAGAATTTGAAGGGGTAGTCTTCGAAATCTAGATCTGGTGTGAAGCTCCGGTGAGAACGTACAACAGTGCAAATGGTGAAGAAATTCGCTCGAACTAGCGGGTAATAGAGGACAAGCAGAGACCAGGGGGAGAGACTCAATGTTATACAGTTCTGACAGGGCACGTGGGGAGTTCGAAAGAAGTACAGCCTATCCCTAAAGACTCACGTGACCAGTCACGTGAATCTTTATTCACAACTAAAAAGGCTGCCCAACAATGTAATTTAAAGGAATTGTGACCAAATTTTTTGGCCCAATTTATATCTGAAGAAAAGGCTTTTAAATTGCCCAATACACAGCTGAGGCCAGATTCTTTTAATGAAGAGGTTGCAGTTCTACACTTTGAACCTTCTGTGGGAAATCAAATAACCACTTGCACAGTGGATCCCAGTGACAACAAAATCAACTACAATACAGAAGAAGATGAAGAAAAAAGGGACAATGATGGAGAAAAGGAGAATCAACAAGAATCTATCCATGGGGAAAATGCTATGTCGATCATTGCTGAGCACGAAGGGAAGGGAGACGATTCAAAGATTACAATAACATGCACATGCAATCAAAAGAATCTGATATGTTTGTGGACTAGGCAATTGAAGAAGTAGTGCCTCTAAACCATCAAAGCTTAGAGGTAGAAGAAGACCTGAATTTTGAGGCATCGATTTGGGTTCATCAGAATATCATCAGATTGAGCAGAGTTTGGGGTGGATTTTAACAGGAGCACTGGAGCTTTTCATGAAAATTTATAACATAAGGCAAGCAAACAAACGGAAAAAAGTTACACAGGTGACACAGACTCCAAAGAAGAAGGGTTTCAAAGAGCTGAAAAGTCTGGATATTAGAAGTAATTTCAAGAGCAATAAAGCCAGAAGTAGAGGGGGATGCAACATCAGTCATAGCCAATGTTAGTGAACATTATATTATGGAATGTTAGGGGACTTAATAGTATTAGAAAAAGGAGATTGATTAAAAGTATGATACTTAGTTGGAAGACAGAGATCTTTTGTTTCCAAGAATCTAAAATAGAAGGGGATATCAGGGAGATAGTAAAAGAATTAAGGGGTAATAATTGGGTGAAATTTGCACAACTAGAAGCTAGTGGGACCATAGGGGGTTTTGTAATAATGTGAGATGGTAGAATATGGAAGGGGGAAGTTTGATGTTTGGGAGCACATACAATTACTTGTAAATTTTCAGGTAAGACTCAGGAGTACATATGGCATCTATCAGCCGTGTATGCTCCTAATGACAGAAGAGAAAAGGAGGAAGTTTGGTGGGAGCTGACAGGTGCAAGGGGCCTCTTTAATGGGCCTTGGGTGGTATGTGGGTCTTCAATACTGTTAGGTTCCCATCAGAGAAGAAGAATTGCTCCAGATTCACAAGAGTTATGACTGAGTTCTCTAATTTTATTGAAGATATGGAAGTGGAAGACACCCAACTATAAGGAGGTGAATACACATGGAGAAAAGGCGACATGTATGTAATAGCAGCTAGACTGGATAGGTTCTTGATTTCTGCTGACTGGAATGAAGATTTTAGAAATATAAAATAATCATTGCTTCATAGAGTTACTTCAGACCATTCACCCCTGATGCTTCAATGTGGTAGTTGGGACCCAGTCAAATCATACTTTAAGTTTGAAAACTGGTGGCTGCAGACTGAAGGATTCAAAGATAGAGTGCGAGAATGGTGGAACTCTTTTGCTTGTGAAGGAAGGCCTGATTTCATTCTAGTTTTCAAACTTAAAGCCTTGAAGGCAAAGCTCAAAGAATGGAGCAAAACTCTCCAAGGCAACTTAGCACTGCATAAAGCAAGTATCATCAGCCAACTTGCAGAGCTGGAAGAGTTACATGACCAAAGGAGCTTGATAGAGGAGG